ATGGAAGAAGACTGAAACTAGACATTAAGGCTCCATTAGAGTGACTCTCCATTAGAGTGAATGCTATCAGTGTGTTATTGCAGCCAATGGAGCTCCCCCTGCTGGCCTTTATATAGAATGCAGGTTTTAAGACACTTTGAGTTGGCTTCACTTATCAGACCTCTGTCCATTATATATACTGTCAATGCTTGAACTCCATAATTTCTTTGAATTCTTTGACCTTTGAAAACTTTATATTGTGTGGGTTTTATTGCGCGTATTTGCGCTGAATTTTCCTGTAATTTATTCTTGTCTCTTTACTCTTTTGTGAAGCACTTTGAGCTACACCCTCTGTATGCCAAGTTATATATAAATAAAGTCTATTATTATTATTATATTATTCTTAAGAGTTGTAAATGTTCTAAGATCAATGATGGACAGTGGAAACATTGCCATTATCATAAACTGTATAATGAAAAATTTATGTAGTCTCCATGAGTTCACCCATAGGTTTTCTGAAGAGCTGTTGTGATGCTCAGCTCTGTGTCAAACTACGTTTTCTAACGGCAGTCCTGACTCTGCCATCTCCCGGCCAATCAAAAAGTGAGAAAGGGCGAGCCAAATTAAGTCTGTTTTCTGAAACCTGTGTGATGGCACCCACCGGTCACTCAAAGCAGTTGTGCCTTTAATTATGTATAAAGTTTAATATAATTGAAACGGGTGAGTTGTATAAAAATGTACACTTGGCATGAATGGGGAAATTGGCCAAAACTGTTTCTGTAAACATATTTATTTCTGCTGTAAGGTTGGGTATTATTTTAATATTTGGCCTACCTTTGTAATTTTCTAATCATTTTCTAATCTTTTACATAATAAGATTTTTTTTTTAACAAAAATGTCTTCTATACCGTACCTGGATGGCTGTGATCAAGTTGTTTTATCCACCAACTGTGAACTGAATTTGTGCTGGCTGTATTTTTATATACTTTATACATACACTGTTGTGATGCTTGTCTATATACGTGATGAATGTCGAGCAGACGGAAACATTGTAAATAAATCAATATACCAGCATTTTATTATCAAAATACATCATATAATCCTTTGTTATACATGCTGACAGCCACATAGTCTAGGGAGTGTTCGGGGATACTATCACAGGGCCATGGGCAACGAAGCAGTAAACACTTTTTTTCCCAAACATCAGAGCATTTTGGTGCTGTGTAGTTCTACATCCAAGCATTCCCACTATGCTTAGATACATACAAAAACATGCAGAGTTTTATGTCCTAACTTTAGACCCCAGGCTGCTGGTTGTGGCTTTGATGAACCAGCAGACTAAGGATTGCTGGGATGAGAAGAGAGGATCTGCCTAAGAGTCTGCCTAAGGAGACCAGCTGGTACTCAGGGTTCAGAACACGAATGGGGTTACCCATTATCTCCTCTTCTCATCTGATTACTGATGTTATTTGATCCACCTGCCTATTTTATACAACAGAATCCAATTAGATGCATTTCAATTAGATGGGAAACAGTAGCTGTATCTTCAACAGGAGATTCTCACTGAACACACTTATCAAACGCTGAGCAATAAGGACATAACTTACATTTTAATTCCACTGCAGTTCCTAATTAGTTACTGTCCTTTAAGTCATGCATGTGCATGACTTAAAGCAACAGGGCAACCAACAGGGCAGCTCACAGGGGCAGGAGTGAGCAGATGCTTATCTTGACTAAGTGATCTTTGACTAGTCCAGACACACGGGTCACTAGTTCAAAAATAAGATATCTTTAACCACCAACCTTTCTCTTAATTAGGGCGGGTGAAATTTATTTCCCATCTTTTGCTCACAACTTGTTATCTTAACCCTCATCAACATATTTAACATACAAGGACTACTGACTGGGGTCCCTGGGGAAAATGACGATAAGAAACAATCATAGCAAAACGTGAACTTTTTTCCTTCCAAACATTATTAGTTGTGCAGGTATGTCATCTGAAAAACAACCCAAACAGGTTATTAATATTCTGTCCCTCTGCAGCCTCAAAAAGGGTTAGATATGTGCTTTTTCCCACACTCATATGTCAATCATATGCACACTATTCTCATACTCATAAGACACTATTTTACAGTATTGTCTTGTATAATCGAACATAAACATTTAATTTGATATGATTCTCCTTAAGAAGAGCCATATTTTGAGTTGTCAAAAGACCACATAAGGAAATCTGTGTCTGTCTCTCCCGATTTGACTGGAGACTTTAAGGCTAAAATGCTAGGGGGACCTGACTTGGTGACACAGTCATATTAAAAAATACTTATCATTAATAATTATCATTATATTTTACTACACAGTACAACTTCATATAGTGAATGTGAAAATGTGTCTCTGAATTGCCATCGGTCTCAATGAGCCTTCTCAGGTTGAGTTCGGACATCGTGCGACATTAATCATTCAGCTGACATTCTATACTGTTGCAATATTCTTCAGAGGGTTATTTATACGTGCACCTTAGAAGGTGAGAAAACATTTTGGTCATGTAAATTGCACTGTGGTGTCATTGCAGATGTGTTCTTTTCATATCGTAATTTACAGAACAGAGACTGTTAAGTAATTTGGATATATGTAATGTATATGCAGTCTGAGTTAATTGTTTAATTTTATTAAATGTATGTATTCATACTTGTTTAAAGCCATAAGCACAATGTGCTGTCATCACTTTTTCCAGAGAGATTATGTAGCTGTTACAGAGTGTAAATTAACCAGCAGCTCC